CGTAGGCTTCAACTCTTTCTTTTTCTTTTGGGATGGCTGACCAGAATTGTCTTCCACCCAAACTTCTTTTCTTTTCTTGCTCTCTTCTTTTTTAGTTGGCTGAGCTAACCGACTCTCTTTTTTGTCGAAATTCTTAGGGTCCGACGGCTACTTGATGGAACAGAGCTCCGTCGCTTGTATATAGGCTTCGGCTTCCATCAAAGCTTCTTGGAGGGTAGCAACCCTCTTTTTGACGAGATCGACCCGTCTTTTAGACCTTTGAAGAAGTCTGTGTAGGCAACTTTGTCAGACAACCCTTGAATCTAAATTCTCATCAGATTAAACCGCCAGACATAGGACCTTAGCCCTTCTCTATCTCCCTGCTAAATAGCTCCCAAGCCAAGACTTGTCTTTTTGGCGGGGATGTTCATAGAGAAGTTGGACGCAAACAAGTATGCAAGCGTCTTGAAATTATTGATGCAACCGGCTGGCAAATTGCCAAACCATCATTGGGCTATGCCCTTCAACGTCGCCAGGAAACATTGACACCAGGCGGCGTCATCCAACCCCTGTAAGTACATGAGGTTGGTGTAAGCCATTAGGTGATCTACTGGGTTGGTGGTACCATCATAGGTTCCAACCAACACATTCTTAACATTGGCCGGCTAAGCCGCCTTTGTTATCTCCCTAGAGAACGCCGACGGCTATTTCCCAAGGTTTAGTAGCCGGAGCTGCCAGTCCATTGGCTAGACATTTTGTGCCGCCTGACCCCGAGGAAGGTTGGCTTCATGTAAGGTGATCTATACGGCATGTATGGCTGTTAGGGCACACACGGAGCCAGTTGGATGATCTGAGGGCTAGTATGTGCAGACAAGCCGCGTGACTAACTCGCTCGGTTTTTTTCCAAATACTTCATTGAAGTTTTCTGGAAACTATCTAGGTAAGTCAACGTTGAGGCCGACTAAGACAGCTGTTGACTTCTCTTCTCCTGGATTAACATCCGGGCATCTGAGTAAGTCTTTTTTTATCCATCCGGCTGAAATTTCCTGATGGTCTTCCTTTTCCCTAATCACTACAAGAAAAAAGCTTGATTCCGACGGAAAAAACCATCGGAAACATCGAAAATTCCGTCCGAAAATGGAATTCCGTCAGAATCTGTCTGTCGCAAAACCTTTTGTAGGAAATTCGACCTTTTTGCGACGGAATTGAAGTTCCATCGCAATTTTTCGACGGAAATTTCCGTCGGAGTTGGAGAGGTTTTTGACGGAAATTTCCGTCGAAAGAGGTATATTCCGACGGAAATTTTGCGTCGGAAAATGCTGAAAAAATAATAAAAAAACCACCTCACTTTAACCCATAACCTTAACCCTCCAGACCCACCACCTTAACACACCAGACCCTAACCCTAACCCTAACCCACCAGACACACCACCGTAACCCACCAAACCTAACCCACCAGACCCACCACTGTAACCCTTAACCCACCTAACTCTAACCCACAAGAAACCACCAACCGTAACCCTAACCGAAAATTAAACCAAATCCATAAACCACCACCGACACCAGCCCCTTTCTCACCGTAACACCACCACCGACACCACCACACCAAAATTTTACCCCAAAAATATAAAATTAACCCCAAAAAAACATAAATTAGGCTAAAGATACGAAAATTAACACAACAAAATCGAAAAATACCACACATTCACATCAAAATCAGTAGATTTACATATTTAATTAGAATTTCATAAAAAAAATTAAAAAAAAATGATAATTAAACAACAAAAATTAAAGGAAATACAATTATCTAATCAAATTTATAATTAACATTACAATTACATAAAAAATTAACTAGATCTACAATCTAACCTAAATTAAAACTAGATCTACAAAACAAAAACCTTGAGAGTGGGTGACAGTGGTTGTTACGTCGTTATTGTTGGTGTTGATGTTGGTTGTCGGTGGTTGTGGTTGTTGTTGTTGACGGTTCAAGCCTTGAAGGTAGTCGTTGTTGTTGACGGAGATAGAAATGGAGGGCGGAGGAAGGAGAGAGAGCAGAGAAAGAAGAAGAAAGAAGAGGAGGACAAAAAGATAGAAGAAAATAGAAGAGAAAAGAGGAAAGGAGAGAAGAGGAAAGAGGAGAGAGGAAGAGAAGAGAAGAGGAAAGAGGAGAGAGAAACGAGAAATGAGGAAAGAGAGGGGAAAGAGAGGCGGAGAGAAGAAGAGGAGAGGAGAGAGAAATGAGAAATGAAAGGGGGGAGGCGGAGAGAAAAAAACCATAATTCCGTCGAAAATGGTTTAAATTCCGTTGGAAATTTCCGACGAAATTAAATTCCGTCGAAAATCTCCTACGGATTTAAAATCCGTTGGAAATTAATTATTTTCCGATAAAAATCCGTCGGAAACCAAGTATTTTTCGAGGGATTTAAATTCCGTCGGAAAATCTAAATTCGTTAGAAATTTCCGACGGAATTTAAATCCATCGAAAATTTCGTTTTTTCCGACGGATTTTTGTGTCCGTCGAAACACATTCGTCGGAAATTGACCTTTTTTTAGTAGTGAATTCAGGAAAAAAAGTTTTGTTAAATCGATCATGGGCCCATCCGCCCCCTTTGGTTTAGGGTGAGGAGTAGGCACACGATCCTTTACATACTTCTTCCCTAGGGGAGAAGGCTTCTTGGCCGACTGACCCTTGTTGGTGCTAGTTGACTTGTTTATTAGGTCCTTAATTTCCCCTTTGAAACTCTTCATAAATTTCATGAGTTCGTCTCTAGTAACGGGAGCAGCACCCTCCGCAGCCTGGGGTAGGCCAGCTGGCTTGACGGTTGGGTTGCTTGGGCTAGCTTGGTCTTCGCCTCTTTCCCTTGTTTTCTTGGAACGGGCGCGTCTTGTTCTGAGTGACCCGTTTGGGGCCACATAGGTGTCGACATCGAAGTCGTCACCACTCTCTTGGTCTGTATAGACCTCTACTTCGGCCAAACGCCGGTTCTCATTAGCAGGCCGTACAGACTGCTGTGAAGCCATCTTAGAAGTACTCTCCCCACAGACGACGCCAAATGTTTTGGGGTTTTTAGAGTCCCACGGGAGACTTAAAATTCCAAGAATGTGCGTCAACCGTCTGTACCTGCAAAACCACGGAAAACTCCGGTTGGGTGGAGTTCCACCTCCGACGATCAAGATAGAAAGAATTCGGATGTATAAAAGTGCGGAATGTAAAGGTTTTTCTCTCGGATTCCGAGAGAATTCTGCAATTAATATTGCTCAGATTTTGTGTGTATATTTATGAATGTGCAATAAATGAGGATTTTCCTCTATTTATAGTGTAAGGGGATCAGTTCCCCTTTCATGGGTTGGAGTACCACGTGTCACTAGAGAATCGGTTCTCTCAGAATCTCTCTGATGTTGACACGTGTTAGCACACGATTGGTCCACGTGGACAGGGTAGTTTTACCCTAAACAAATTGTTTTTTTTAATGGTACGTATCTGAAAGATATAAGGTACATGACCTTAAAATTATAAGGTGCAAATTTGATTTTCGACCTACTAATATTCTCCAATTTGAAAATTTATGCACATTATGTACAAAAAATGCACACATCAAATTTCAGTCAATTATTTTTGCACATTTAGTACAAAATATGAGCACATAAAATTCTTGTTATTGTTCTCATTTAAAAAAAATACTTGTTAGAATCGTCTTAAATATTAATGTATAGTTATGCAGATATTTGTTAGAATCCTCTTAACGTATAGTAAATTCTTAATTTCTAACTTATTAGAGCACTACCGGCAGTGAGGAAAAAAGCCCTCACGAGTAAAAGATAAGGTGTAAAAAAAAAAACCACAAGCCACATCAATGAGAGGAAATCCTCTCATGGCTGAGGAGAAGAGGAAACGCTCATCAGATGAGGGGTTTTAAAGATGAACAGTAATGGAGTCGGACCCGCAATAAACTGACGCAAGCCCACTTGTATTTATGAGAAAGTTGGCAAAACGCGTCATTTAGCCCAAGCTAAGGCCAAAACGACGCTGTTTTGGAACTTAAATCAGCAAAAAAAAATTAAAAGCTAACAACTGACGCGCGTCAACCCAGCGAATAAGGATACGACACGCGTCCTTGCCTTGAAAACCAACCAATCAGAAAATTACCCATTTTGCAACGGTAATATATTTAAAAATGTAAATAAAGCCGTTTAAAATATAAAAAAAAAATAAAAATTCACCAACGACCATAAAAAATTTTCCTCTATAAATAGACATCCATTTTGATGTATTTTGATATACTTTCAAAAACCCAAAAAATCTCTTATATTCACTAATTTCCCAAACCTCAATTCTTCTTCTTCTTATTATTATTATTAATCACGGTTTTGCTTAAAAAAATACTGTTATAATAATTATACTTATCATTATAATTAAAATTATAATAATAATTATTATTATTATTGTTATTTTTATTGTTATTGTTATTGTTATTGTTATTGTTATTGTTATTGTTATTGTTATTGTTATTGTTATTATTATTATTATTATTATTATTATTATTATTATTATTATTGTTGTTGTTGTTGTTGTTGTTATTATTATTATTATTATTGTTGTTGTTGTTGTTGCTATTTTTATTTTCTGAAAATATAATAGAGTTATTTATTTTTTAGTAATTTTTGAATTTCTTACTAATTATTGTTTAAAGCTTTATTACTTTACTACTTTATCAACTTATGGATCCTAACAACCCTAATTTTTCGAATCATTTCTCTGATTTAGGTGATGATTTTGTCACTAATCCTCGATTTCAGCTTTTCTTACAAAGGCTTGGAAACACTTCTTTTCAAAATTCACCTCATCAAACTCCATTCGAAAACACTACCTATGAACCACATTCACCTCCTGTTTATCAAGGGACCCATTCTCAATTTGATGATTAAATGGATGAACCTGTTCCAGACACTCCTCAATACTCTCCACATCCTCGAGTGTGTCTTTGAATCAAAACCAACCACTTACAAAAGCAAGTCGAATGTGGTCTGTTGTGGAGGATAAAGCTCTAATTGGTTTGTATCTTCAATTCAGTGAAGATGCAATTGTTGGTACAAACCAAAAAGCAACTGCGCTATGGCGAAAAATATCTGCGGCTTATGATCAAGCGCATTATGAGAAACCCCACATCTTACCGCCAAGACCTTTGAGGAGTTTGGAAAGCCGTTGGAGAAGGATGGCAACTGATTTAATACAATGGAGAATTTGCTATGACGAAGCTGGAAGGGCAACTGGCAGTGGTTACAACGAAGCAGACCGCATTCATAATGCGAGTAAGTTATTCTATATTTCCTCCAAGCCTACTCCACATAATTTTAATTGTCACCATGGTTGGGAAATGGTTAAAAATGACCCTAAGTGGAGGACAAAACTGAGATGGGCGTTGTCAAGAGAGGAAAGATTAGCTTGCGGTGATGCTGTCGAAGATGACAGTAGTGGAAGTGAAAAGCGGTGTAGAACTGAAGATGAAGATGATGTTCCCAATACCGGTTTCATTTCTGGGGGTCTTCCTCAACTTGATGGCGTTAAAAAGGCAAAGTCTAGGCGTAATAAGGGAAAAGGAGTGGCTTTTGAAGTCTCTAACATTAATGAGCAAATGTAGCAGAATAATGCAGGTAGGGAAATTGAGGCACAAATGCGATTGAAGAAGTTGGATTTCGACATGGAAAGGGAAAGAAGGAAGAAAAAACAAGTAGAGCTTCACAAAAAACAAGTCGAAATTCAAGAGAGAAGGCTCAACTATGAAATGCTGCAAGATCTAATGGCAAAGGGACCGGACCTAACTCCCGATGAAGAGGCTTACAAGGAAGAATTACGTGCACTACTCTACGGTAGAAGGAGCATGTAATAATAATCAACTTAATGTGTTTGCTAATGTTTTATTTAATTAATGTTCAATGTAGTCTTTTTTATTTTAATTAATGTTAAGATGTACTCCTTTTTATTTACAGTAATGTGAAATGATGTTTGTTTTTATATATTATTAATTATGCAGTAAATTATTTACTTTATTAAATTTGTTTTGAATAATAATCACATGTACTAGTTAATGACAAATTTACATCCCAATAAAATCTTCACAACTTTATGTTGAAGAGTCATATCAACTGAACACAAGTAATGATATAATGACATAGATCATTGAAGAGTCAAATCAACTGTCGAAGTGTCATAGACCACATGCATCAATATTTCAATTGCAATTCAGAGTGCAATGACACATCAATTTCATTGCAGAGAATGCATTGAAGCGTCATGTGGACTTTATATACATGCATGACACATCAATTTCATTGCAGATATTGCAATGATACATGGATTTCAATTCAAAGTTACTCACATACAAAATCAGAGCAACTCACATGCATTGATAGTCACTTGGACTATATATACATGCATGTGTTATTCTAAACGGACAGAATCCCAAACAAACCAACTATTAAACCATAGCCAAAACATGTCTTTCATTTCCTCCACCTCAAGCTCTAGTTCTTCTGATTTCTCAAATAACGTTGAATTTGATCGGTTAGTTGATGATTATGTTGCTAACCACCTACCACATATTTTAATTCCCGAAGACTCACCACAAGAATTCCAGCTTAATAATGATATAGCAAATGTCCCGGAGCCTAAAAGGGATAGGGAAAGAGAAAAAGGGCATGTGCAACTATATAACGATCATTTTGCGAGTAACGCAGTGTATAACGACAACCAATTCCGCCGTAGATTTCGTATGCAAAGATCTTTGTTCTGTCCCATTATGAATAAGGTGGTTGAAGGGGATCAATTCTTCCAACAACGTCGGAATGCAGCTGGAAAGCTTGGTTTATCACCGTTGCAGAAATGCACCGCTGCAATAAGAATGTTAGCGTATGGCGTAGCCCCTGATGTCGTGGATGAATATCTTCGTATAGGTCAAACAACCTCAAGGAATGCATTGCAACATTTCTGTCAGGGGGTTATTACACATTTTGAAAGTGAATATCTACGTAAACCTACAGATGAAGATCTAAGGAGAATCCTTCACCAAAATGAATTGCGTGGGTTTCCAGGCATGGTTGGTAGTATAGATTACATGCATTGGGAGTGGAAGAATTGTCCTACGGCTTGGAAAGCACAATATGTTGGTCGTAGCAAAACTGCAACCCTCATTCTTGAAGTCGTTGCTGATCAAGATTTATGGATTTAGCATGCGTTCTTTGGAATGCCTGGCTCATGTAATGATCTTAATGTCCTTTACCGTTCACCGGTGTTTGATGATGTTTTACAAGGTCGTGCACCACCAATAAATTTTTGGGTTAACGGACATCAATATAAGTTGACCTACTACTTGGCAGATGGGATTTACCCGAAATGGCCAACTTTTATACAAGGTATAACACATCCTCAAGTTCAAAAAGACAAGTTGTTTGCTGATCAACAAGCAGCAGTTCGAAAAGACGTTGAACGGGCTTTCGGAGTTTTACAAGCCAGGTTTGCTATACTCCGACAACCAGCACTTGCATACGACGAAGATATTCTTTGTGACATTATCAAAGCCTGTATAATAATGCACAACATGATCGTCGAGGATGAACGACACAACTTCACCCGTGCAGATATTTTAAGACGATACTACGAAGAAGATGGACCACAACGTACAGCAGCGCGGCCGGGACCGAGAAAAAGTGCCACGGTGAATAACAACGAGCCATTTGAATTCAACGTCGGGCGGCCACCCAACATTGATTTCAACGCGTACTTTCAAAGGAGGATTGCACTTCGTGATAGAGAAATTCATTCGTCTCTCAAACAAGATTTAGTAGAGCACATATGGCAGAACTTTCGTCATAACACGGCCGAATAAGCAAATTTGTAGTTTGTAATCGTATCGTTTTTAGGTTTTAATACCTGTGTTCGTGTATTACTTCAGGTCAAACCGCTTTTTTTTAAGTTCGTAACCTAACTGTTTTTTAATATCCGATGTATTTGTATTGTCGTTTATGTGTTCATTTCAAAAATGCGCTTTTAATTTATCGTTTAAGTTAAAAAAATACATCTTTCGTAGAATCTATAATTGCTGTTATTTGCTTTAGTTTTTATATTCTAATTAAAACGTTAAATAAAAAATTACATTGTAAATGGTGTATTAAGAAATTTTAACCGTAATTAATAGAATAAAAGGAAATTTTTTAAAAAATAAAATTATTACATTATAATTAAAACGTAATTATAAAAATAAAATAAAATATATTTTTAATTGTATTGAAAAGTTACATATATAGTATAAACATTATTAAAAAAAAAAAAAAAGATAAAAAAATGGTGATGTGTATTATGGTGGGGTATAGTAAATAGTGGAGGATAAAGTGATGAGGGTTTTTTTTTTAACATTGGTGTAGTAAGAAAAACCTCTCATGAGAGGAATTGGATGGGAAGAGTGAGAAAGTGGGTAGAGAAAGATTGAGGGGTTTGTTTTCTCCTCACTGCTGATAGTGGTCTTATAGTTTATACATTAAGTTCTTACAAACCAGCTAGTCCTTGAATTAACACTATTGGGAAAAGATATTAAGCAAAATATGAATGGTCTATAAAAACAGCCCAATTATAAGAAGAAAAAAAAAAGTAAGGTTAATGGATGATGATTTAGCGTTTATTCCAATGTCCTCTTGCACATATGGTCATTATCGATCCATCATATCGCCGCTGTTTAAATTTGACAATTCTAGCTGCATCGTTAAATTAAGATGTAGCTGGCACGAGGGAAGGTAAGGATAAGCCGCCAGACAACTAGATTGTTGAGGCAGACGGGCTGTAGTACATCGCCAAATATGGGTGTTCGCGTTCAGAATCAGCGCATTTTTTACACAAATCGTTATACTAGTATTATTTTTTTAATCTGACTATTCTGCATCGTCAAATTAATAGTCAAATTAAGAAATGGCTGCTCATATATAACTTTCAGTTCAAAGCTGGAATGAGGGGAGATAGGGAAAAGCCGCCGGACGACTAGATTGTTGAGGCAGACGGCGGGCAGTGTACAATGCCAATAACGCCAAATATGGGCAACTCAAAGTTATATATATGAGCAGCCATATCTTAATTTTACAATGCTAAATAGTCAAATTATAACAATGGTGATGGAACCGATTGATTGTTGGTGCAATGGTGATGGTAGGGAGGACCCGTATTCGATTCCTTGCAACAACAATTGGAAGGGAATTGGAACCTAACCATTCATAACTGATCCCCGAATGCAACTAGCCCAAAGGGTGAATCGGGTGGAACACCAAAAAAAATAACAATGGCGATGGACCGATTGGTGACTATACGTGCAAGAGGATATACTGTAGCGCCTTATAATTTTAAAACATCTACTCTACCTTAGATCTTTTGGGTATGTATCTTATAGCTAAATGCCACATACCTTAAAATTTAATCAACAATTTTTTTAGAAACATTCTATATACGAAATATAAAATTTGGTCATGTACTTATCTTCAGGGCATGTACCTTGTACCTTTATGACATGTACCTTATATATATAAGACGTGCACTTTAATATATATTTTTTAAAATATTTTTAAAAAATAAAATAAATTTGAATTTTAAAATTTAATTTTAGTATATATTCTTCATCAATTCATGTATAGTTACCTATAAATAAATAAGCATATACGTTACCCTGACCAATATAACTAAAATTTTCCCTGTTTTTTTTAATGCATCACTTTTTAATTTACGGACTCCTAGATAATATTTGAAGTATAAAGATATAAAGAGAAAAAAATAAAGATGGTTCATGTGATATGAAAGAGATAAAAATTTAAAATGAAAGTGATGTATCTATTTTGAAATTTCACTTATAGAAAGAAATACATATAAAAAAACACATAAAGTATTGGAAAAATTCATGGAAATAATCCGACCTTTAGCACATTCTTTTTTAATAATCCAACCTTTCGATTATTATTTAATAATCCGACCTTTGGGGGTCTTTAATTTTTATTGATTCCAACCGGTCATGTAACCTGTTAAAACAGGTTACATGACACGTGTCGGCCTATGATTGGTAAAAAAAAATAAAAAAAATAACAAAAAAAAAAAAAAAACAAAATAAAAATAAAAAAAAAATTAAATAGCCAGCCACCAGGGAGCCAGCCCAGCCACCAGGGAGCCAGCCCAGCCACCAGCCAGGCCAGCCCCCTGCCGCCGGTACTTGCTCCAGCAGACGCGCCTGCCTACCTCCCCTTCCCTCTCCCCTTGCTCTTGCCCTACCAGCACCGAACAACCCCGCCCCCGCATCTCCCTCACGCACAGCCTGCTCCCTCAATGCCCCCACAGCAGCCCATTTGGTGGTGTTAGGTGGAGGAATAGGGTTTATGGGGGCCGGAAAACATGGTAAGGGTGGTTTCGGGGCTGCGGTGGTCGGGAAGGGGTTGCGGTGAGGGAAGGTGGAGGTTGGTTGCGGTTTTCGCGGGTTAGGGTTCGTTTGGATGGGTGGGGCGACGGTTAAGGGGAGGTCGGAGTAATTGGGGGTGGCTCGGCCGGCGGTGGGTGAGCTGGATGCCGGCCGATTTCTGGGCTTGGGGGGTGCTACGTGAAGGGGAGGAGGAGAGGGTTGGAGGGTGTTGCGTGAATGGTGGCAGGGGTGGTGGGGAAGGTGGTGGCAGGGCTGTGGGGTGTTGCGTGAAGGGGAGGAGGAGAGGGCTGGGGGGTGCTGCGTGAATGGTGGCAGGGGTGGTGGGGAAGGTGGTGGCAGGGCTGTGGGTTTTTTTTAAAAAATTTTAGACAAATCAAATTGTGACACGTGTCAATTAAACTTTAAAAAAAAATTACCTCTACTACCGGTTTTTGGTCAAATGGGACCAATAAAATTTAAAGAGCACCAAAGGTCGGATTATTAAATAATAATCGAAAGGTCAAATTACTAAAAAAGAATGAGCTAAAGGTCGGATTATTGCCATGAATTTTTCCTACAGTATTTGATAAAATTCTCTCTTTAAAAGGGCTATAAGGAATAACTGGTCAAGCTATTTAATAGCTTGTGAACATTTATTTGTCTTGAACTCCTATATAATGTCCAAGGTTGTTTGTTAGCAGAATTGTCCTATAATAACTTAGAACTTGTCCATAATTTTAAACATCAACTAGCTATAGAAAAGCCAAAAGACTAGTAGTAAGAAAGAGAGAGAGAAAATGAGCACCTTAAACACACACATTCTTAATAATGAGGATGGTGATGATCAGCTCTTTCAAGGGCAAGCTCAAATATTCAACCACCTGTTTAGTTTCGTCCAATCTCTTGTGATAAAATCAGCAGTGGAACTCCGCATAGCTGATATCATACACTCGCATGGCCAAGCAATGAGTTTATCACACATAGCTTCAAAGCTAGAGTCTACGACATCTCCTGATGTATCGCGCCTTGCACGTCTCATGCAGTTCAACGGTTTGCTCATTTTAAATTTGATTGCAAATTTTCAATCTCTATCAAACCTAAAATATTTGATTTAATTCAAAAAATTTCAAAAAAGTAAATTCAATCAAATGAATAATTGATGCAATTAAACATGCAATTCAATGTGAATAGAACAAACCTTAAAAATCGAAAATTATCATGCAATTAACATGCAATTCAATAACTGGCGATTGATGCAATTAAACATGTAATTCAATGAGAACAGAACAAACCTCAATAATCGATAATTATCATGCAATTAACATGTAATTAACGAAAATAATTCGAATTGAACAATTTGAAATCCTCAAACACTAAGCTTAACATGCAATTGAAAAATATTTTGTAAATTTTGATGCTAAGATCACTCATTGGTAAATTTTAATGAAAATCCAACATTAAAACCATAAAATTCGAAATTACTAACAAAAATTAAGAAAAATACATTCAGAGAACACTAAAACTTTTGTTGATTATTTACCTGTATAATCTATGAAACTTGTTGATTCTTGTTGCTGCTAAAATTTGACAAAAATCAAATTGAATAATGTTGAAATTCTTGAACCTCACTTAAATTGAAGCTCGCAGCAAAGTATATGTTTGATATATCGCAGCAGTATAGCCATTAATATTGTTTGATCCTAAGGCTTAGATTTGTCCTCATATATAAGGAGTGTCCTCACATAAAGGGTGGTTCTCACCGGATCCCGATCCTTTATATATATATATATATATATATATATATATATGTATGTATGTATGTATGTATGTATGTATGTATGTATGTATGTATGTATGTATGTATGTATATGTATATGTGTATGTATATATACACATATACATATACATACACATATACATATACATATACATATACATACATACATACATACATACATACATACATACATACATACATACATACATACATACATACATACATACATATATATATATATATTATTTGTAATAAGAATATGATGTTTGCCGCGCAAATAAGAATATAAGACAATGGTGATAATTTTTATCAGTTATATATATATATATATATATATATATATATATATATATATATATATAACTGATACAAATTATCACCATTGTCTTATATTCTTATTTGCGCGGCGAACATCATATTCTTATTACAAATAATTTAGAAGGGAGTACGTAACTATATATGAATAAGTTGGTCGTAAATGAATTTGAGGTGATTTGAAATCAGGTTAGGTTAATAACAGGTCAGGTTGAGTTTGAGATGGATTAGGAAAGTCGAGTTGAATTCGGGTCGGGTTAGTTACAAGTCGGGTTAAATTCGAGTTTCAACGGGTTAATATAGATTTGGCTGGGTTAAATTTGGTTTTCGATGGGTTAATGTAGATTTGGCTGGGTTAAATTCGGGTTTTGACGGGTTAATATAGATTTGGGTCAATCTTGGTTCAGATCAATAATTTACGGGTTATATTCAAGTCGGTCATCTCCAAGTCGGGTCATGTTCGAGTTCGGGTCTCAAATACTTAGGTTAACTCGGGTCTATGGTCGTTTTTAGGTCAGATCATATCGGGTTCGGGTCACCATTTTCTCAGGTTTAAACAGGTTGGGTCATAATCGGGTTCAAACAAATTTTTCAGTTCGGGTCCGCTTTTGAGAGCTCTAAGCAGAATGCCAAATTAAAGGCAGGGCTTGCTTATTGAACAACTCTGCTTTCCTAAGTTTAGTCCATGAGGAGACTAGTATACTCATGCACATTTATTGAACACACCCGCACAGGTCTGTTCCATACCTATATGCTACTCTCTCCGTCCTTTTTTATAGTTCCCATTTGAAATCTTGACACTAATCATAATGTGAGAGAATCTTCTAAATTACTTAATATATAAGACATAACTAACATAGTCATGCTGGGTGTTATTTAATTTGTCTCGATGAATAGATTATTAATATTCAATTATTATACTTTTTACTAATAAGCAACCAACGATATTTATGATCAAAGTGTTACATTGGCAAACTTACAAGTCCAAGTGGAAACTATAAAAAGGGGCGGAGGGAGTAATTGGCTAAAACAATCTTTACACTTATACTCAAACTAAACGATCTTTTTTTTTTTTTTTTTTGAGCCACAAAGGCGGGGTGAGAATCGATCCCATGATCTTCTGTAATCCGGAGAGAAGCTCTAACCACTTGAGCTATCCCTCACTCTCAAATTAGATTGGACGAATAAGTATCTCACCTTATCTCATAAGTTTTATCACAAAACTTTAAACTTTAATAATCTCTGTGACACACACCAATAAGCCCATGATAAGGGCAATCCTTTTTTTTTTCTTTTTTTTTTTTTTTTTTTTTTTTTGGGTTACATGTAAAATCCAACTCTTAAGGAATAAGCAAAACCATGAAACTTTCCTAAAATCTACCATATTAAAAGAAAAATTCTACGTCCCTTATAGATCGGGTTCACAATTATTTGATAACATTAAAATAATAGATATCCTAAAAACCATTGATATCCCAATATCCCATATAGGGGGTAACAAAGGAACTTAGAGAAATTAAAGATGGCATGACTAAAAAATTTAATTAATTTTCTAGGGGAAAAGCCTCAATAATTGAAACAAAAGCAGGGATTGTGATAATGTTGTGACTAGCAAAGCCAGCATCTTTTAATAGTTTGTTCCATTCATGTTGCGTCCTCTCTTTGCCACCACAACTTGCCATCATCAATAAATCGCACCCTAACTTTGTTTCTTCATAAAGCCCTTTATCCTCCGGATATAGAACTATGTCTACGATAATCACCTTCCCTTTGGTTTTTGATATTGCCTTTTGGCAATTCTTCAGAATCTTAAGGCAATCTTCGTCTTCCCAATCGTGCAAAACTGACTGCATTAATAATGTAACAGATAAAATAATTATTATGCATGGTAAATTAAATTGAAAGGGGGCAACAATTTCAATGCAAACTTAATTATCATCACTCGAAATTCAATTTCTACAAGACGGTAGCAGATGATTAATTAAGTTTTTGAATTTTCTCTCTATGTATATCTATGAATGTACCTTGATGATGACGGTATCAGCATAAGGGATCTCCTTGAACATGTCGCCACCAACATGGGTGACATTAGGAAATACTGGTGCAGTTTCTACAACATGAGGAAGATCAAAATTGATCCCTTTAATATGCGGGTGAGCCTCTACAATCTTTGCCACGGCTCGGCCAATACCACCACCAACATCCACAAGGGTTCCTTGAAGCTTACTAAACCCTTCCTTATACCCACACAAAATAGCATCCAATATAGTCTTGGTAACCGAAGCCATTCCTGTATTGAAAAGCTTATTGAACTCAGGATCGTTGGATGCTTTCTCCCAAATACTTTCACCATGGACTTTGTCAAACGCGATCCCACCTTCGTTGATAGAACGGCCAATTTCTTGCCATGGGGCCATCAATGACGGGTGGGTGAAAGTGAGAAACATAGGTGCAAGGCTGAATTCATAATCATGTAAAAGCCATCTAGATGTAGGAGTAAGACCATACAAAGTCTCTCTTTCATCATCTTTTGATCTTTTGATTATATATATATATATATATATATATATATATATATATATATATATATATATGTGTGTGTGTGTGTGTGTGTGTGTGTGTGTGAGTGTGTGTGTGTGTGTCTGTGTGTATATATACATATATATAACTGATACAAATTATCACCATTGTCTTATATTCTTATTTGCGCGGCGAACATCATATTCTTATTATATATATATATATATATGTATATATATATATATATATGTATATATATATATATATATGTATATATATATATATATATGTATATATATATGTATATATATATGTATATATATATGTATATATATATATATGTATATATATATGTATATATATATATATGTATATATATATGTATATATATATATATGTATATGTATATGTATATATATATAGGATCGGGATCCGGTGAGAACCACCCTTTATGTGAGGACACTCCTTATATATGAGGACAAATCTAAGCCTTAAGATCAAACAATATTAACGGCTATACTGTTGCGATATATCAAATATATACTCTGCTGCGAGCTTCAATTTAAGTGAGGTTCAAGAATTTCAACATTATTCAGTTTGATTTTTGTCAAATTTTAGCAGCAACAAGAATCAACAAGCTTCATAGATTATACAGGTAAATAATCAACAAAAGTTTTAGTGTTCTCTGAATGTATTTTTCTTAATTTTTGTTAGTAATTTCGAATTTTATGGTTTTCATGTTGGATTTTCATTAAAATTTACCAATGAGTGATCTTAGCATCAAAATTTACAAAATATTTTTCAATTGCATGTTAAGCTTAGTATTTGAGGATTTCAAATTGTTCAGTTCGAATTATTTTCGTTAATTACATGTTAATTGCATGATAATTATCGATTATTGAGGTTTGTTCTGTTCTCATTGAATTACATGTTTAATTGCATCAATCTCCAGTTATTATATTGCATGTTAATTGCATGATAATTTTTGATTTTTAAGGTTTGTTCTATTCACATTGAATTGCATGTTTAATTGCATCAATTATTCATTTGATTGAATTTACTTCTTTGAAATTTTTTGAATTAAATCAAATAATTTAGGTTTGATAGAGATTGAAAATTTGCAATCAAATTTAAAATGAGCAAACCTAAATATTTGTAATAATATAAAAAAAATATAATGAGAAAACATAATTAAAATGAGCAAATCCAAAAAAAAAGAGCAAATATAAAAATGAGCAAATGAGCAAAATAAGTTGGTAATGGTGGTGGTGGTAGGGTTCAGGGGACAGAGGCGGCAGCGGGGGAGTGAGAGTGAGACAGGTTGTGGTGGTGATGAGCAAAATAAGTTGGTAATGGTGGTAAGGTGCAGGGACATGGGCGGAGGAAGGAGAGAGAGTTTGGTGGTGGTGGTGATTGTACAGTGTAAGAAAGAGGGTGAGAAATGGCATTTAGCTCATTAACATGAGTTGCAGAAGCAGTGACAGTGAAAGAGATAGTTGTAGCTATTAAGCAAATATTTAGTTGCTCATTTATCAAATGAGCAAGTAATTAGTTGCTCATTTGTTAAATGAGCAAATACTTAGTTGCTAATTTCACAAATGAGTATTGAGTTATTTGCTCATTTGACAAATGAGCATTTAATTATTTGCTCATTTTACAAAACATCAAAGAATTGTTTGTTTATTTAAAAAATGAGCATTGAGTTCCTTAGTGTGATTGTCTGTGCACAAGCTACACCCCCTTCTTCTTGGTCTGTTTCCTGCATACCAACCACACTCCCTTCTTCCACTTCCTTGCACAAACCTATCCCCCCTTCTTGGTTTGTTAGTGGTTGTGCTTCTTAGATTGAGCACTTTTGTGAGCTATTTGCTCATTTGACAAATATGCTATATTGAATGCTATATATGCTAGGTTTTTCAAATCATAGTGAAGGATAGCATTATCAAGTTTTACTCCTTTTCGAATCATCTAGAATCTGTTATCAAAGCATTGAGTTCCTTGTTTTTCTTGACTGCACATAAGACCCACCCCCCTTCTTCTTCTTCTGTTTCCTGCACACCAACCACATTCCCTTCTTACACTTCCTTATACAAACCTATCCCCCCTGCCCCCTCATCATTCTATTTGCACTTCTGATTTCTGAAGCTAATTTCAGATCTATTTTAGATTTTGAAATTATTATGTGTGTGTGTGTGTGTGTTTGTGTAAGTAAGTGTAAGAGTTATGATGTAAGTAGTAATTAGTATTGTTAAAAACATGATTCAGCAACATAATGTTCTAGTATAAGATTTTTAATGAGCTTCCTGAAACTATTTTATGGGATTGTTACTGACCTGTTATTTCTATTATATTTAATGTCAGAAATGATGAGCAACAACGAAGAACTTGACAGTCATTCTAGTACCATCACAAATGTGCCAACTACTCCTATAATAGTAGTTTCTCCTAAAGTAGCACCTTTCCTCACTCCTGGAGGAACAAAAGAATGGCCTCCTATATGCCCCAATGAGTTGAAACTAGCTATAGGGATGAAGTTTAATAATCTTGAAGAGGGCCTTGAATTTTATAAAAGTTACGCATTTGCTGCTGGATTCAACATAAGAAAGTCTACAACTAAAAGGCAAAGAAGAAGCAAAGAATTGAAATCACAGTATATCTTATGCAATAAAGAAGGATACAAAGAGAAAAGAAAGCCTACTATTGAAAAAGATTTAAATAACAACGAAGGAGAAAGCAATGAAGAAAAAGCTTCAATCAAAAGGAAGAGACTCGTTACTCGTGTTGGGTGCAAGGCACATATTGTCATAAAGCATTGTGATGATAACAAATTCATAGTGTCACAATTTCATGAGGGACATAATCATGCACTTTATACACCTAGTTGCAATCTCTTCCAAAAAGAAGGAAGAAAAATGAACATATTGCACAAAAAAATAATTGTGAATAATTTAAGGTAAGACTTTCAAAGTCTCCTATGTTTCATGAATTCTCTATATGTACTAATAAAAGTAGTATGCTCATTTGAAAAATGAGAATTTAATTGTTTGTTTATTTGAAAAATGAGCATTAAATTGTTTGCTCATTTGAAAAATGAGCATTAAATTGTTCAAATGAGCAAGCAAATAATTGAATTGTTTGCTCATTTTAAAAATGAGCATTGAATTATTTGCTCATTTGACAAACTGTTTTGTTCTTATAATAGGCGAATATTGGTCCAGTTACAACTTTTCGAATGATGAAGGAAATTGTTGGAGGATATGATAACATCGGTGCATCTAAGTAAGATTTCAAAATTTTTCATAGAGATTTGAAAACATACATTCAAGGAAGTGATGCTCAAATGTTCGTGGATAACTTTACCAACAAAAAGCTAATGTGGAGTGCTTTTTTCTTTGTTTTTGAGATGGATGAAGATTATTGCCTTTGTAGAGCATTGTGGGAAGACCCCCTTTGTAAAATAGTTATGCTCTATTTGGTGATATGGTATCCTTTGATACCACATACCAAACCAACAGGTAATTCATAAAAATCACAATTCATTTTTATGTTATAACTATAGCTTAACTTAATGACTTTGTTTTAAATAAACTTAGTATAATTGTTTGCTTATTTCACAAATTAGCATTGAGTTATAAGCTCATTTGACAAATGAGCAATCAATTATTTGCTCATTTGACAAATGAGCATTGAATTATTTCAGTAGCTAATGATAATTCTGATTTCAGAATCTGATTTCAGATTCTATTACAGATTCTGAGTGTGTGTATGTATGTGTATGTGTGTGTGTGTGTGCGTGTGTCTATGTCTAAGTACGTGTGTCTTTGTATTTATGTGTGTGTGTAGGTATTTGCTCATTTAAAATTTAATCTATGTGTAAACAGGTACAACATGGTGTTTACGCCATTTACAGGGGTTGACCATCATAAGAGTTGTATTACTTTTGCTGCTGGTTTCATAGAAAAGGAAGATATAGTGTCATTTGAGTGGTTGTTCAGATCATTTCTCAAGGCAATGGGTGGGAATGAACTGAATTGTATGATTACGGATCAAGATCCAGCAATGAAAATTGTTGTTAAAAGTGTGTTTAAGAAGACTGAACATCGCTTCTGTATGTGGCACGTAATGAAAAAGTTGGCAGATAAGGTGGAGAAATTAATCATGCAAGAAGAAACTGGTTTCCTAAAAAAATTATGTGCTTGTGTTTGGCATCTTGAAATTGAACCTGCTGAGTTTGAAGAAAGGTGGAACAAGGTGATGGTTGAATACCACTTGGAAGAACATGAGTGGTTAGGTTATATGTACAAGATAAGGCACAAGTGGATTCCGACGTATTTTAGAGATGTGTTCCTTGGTGGAATAATGCGTACAACATCAAGATCCGAAAGTGAAAACAACTTTTTCTGCTCCTTTATCAATCCTCATGTGTCACTTGTTGAGTTTTACTTGAGATATGAAGCTGCAATTGATGCCCTAAGACACACTCAAGGTCAGAATGATAATGATTCTAAGCATAAATATCATGAGTGCAAAACACCTCTAGGGATAGAAAAGCATGCCTCACATTTATATACTAACTATGTCTTTTATGAATTTCAATATGAGGTTGAAATTGCTTGTTTTTCTTGTGGTGTTGATGAATTGAAGAAAGAAAATGGATTGGAAGTTGCAAAAGTAAGTGAAGGAAATCGAATTAGAACATTTGATGTTGTGTTTAATCCAACTAACTATGACACCACATGTTGTTACAAGCTATTTTATAGACAAGGTATTCCATGTAGACATATGATTTGGGTTTGGAAAGAAAAAATGTTCAAAACCATTCCTGAGCAGTATATGCTACATAGATGGACTACTATGGCACTGAAAAAACCAATTTTTGACTTGGGTGGAACCTGTTGGAGCAATGTGCTAATTTAATTGACAAGAAAAAATTGTTAAATGATTTATGGTCAGAGATACACACTTGTGTAAGTTTGGCAGAAGGCAATGATGAAGATATTCAAGATCTTGTGATAAATCTTCAAGGGATAAGAAATGATTTGGAGGCTAAGAGGATTGCAAGAAATAATGAAACAACAAGAAGTGAAAACAACAAAGGACAAGACATTGAGCTATTGATTGGAGCTAGTGTGCCAACTGAAATAATTGTCAAACCTCCAAAAATTTCA